AAGAGTCATCAACGATGTTGGAATTCACCTTCCTTCCAAGCTCTCTCTTCATAGGCCCCTACAACGGTTCATTTCCATTGGAAGAACCGTTTGAAGATCCCGGAGCGTGCCAAAACATTCTTCTCGGGATTTCAACGCCACGTATCAACCTGATTGCTGCGTGCTGGCGATCAGGAGTCGTGTCATACCGTCATTTTGTGGATTTCAACACCGCGAATCAACATAGCTGTTGCAGCCGCATGCTCCCGAATCTTTCCAAAACGCCATTTTGGGTACGCTGATCATGGAAAGCTGTGAAACTTTTGCAAATGCTTACGAAGAATGCGCGCGGCGCTACAGCGACAACCGCAATTTGAGAGAGAAACAAGCGCCCTAAATCCCTGAAGCCCTTGCAAAATTTTGCAAAGAATGTGCGCGACGCTGAATCGAGAACCACATGTTGAACAATAACCGCCCTTAATCCATGAATCTCTTACATTTGTTACAATAATGTGCGCAACGCTAAAAAAGAACCGCATGTTGAAAACCACCCGCCTTCAATCCGTGAATCTCGTGCAATTTCTAACGAAGAATGCGCGCGGCGCTAAGGCGAGAGCCACATTTTGAAAACCACCGGCCCTCAATCCGTCAAGCGTTTGCAATTTGTTTAACGAATGCGCGCGGCGCGAAGGCGAGAACCAAATGTTGAAAACCACCCGCCCTCAATCCGCGAAGCTCTGGCAATGTGTTACAATGAATGCGCGCGGCGCTAAGGCGAGAGACGCATTTTGAAAACCACCCGCCCTCAATCCGTGAAGCTCTTGCAAATTTTGAAAACGAATGTGCGCGACGTTAAAGCGAGAGCCACATTTTGAAAACCACCCGCCGTCCATCTGTGAAACTGGTCACTGTTTAAGCTTCAGAATCATGAATGTTGAGAAAGTCTCAGGCGAAACGCCCGGCCCGTCCACAAAACTAGCCTCGAGGTGCGACTGGGAGGAGTATTTATAAGGAAAAGGAATGGAGCGCCCGCAAATGGCGGGTCAGATGGCTCAGTAGTTTCGCGGCCGGCGGGGCCTAACAGTAGTCAGAATGAGAGGCCGAACGGTCAATCATTGTCCCTGGGTGCGTCACTGAACTGGGGAGCCGTGGTGAAGATTATGCTTGTTGCGTTGTTTGTTGTCGTCGTCCCCCCTGCGACCCACCCGCGACCCACCCCGCGACCCCACCCGCGACCCACCCCGCGACCCACCCCGCGACCCACCCCGCGACCCACCCGCGACCCACCCGCGACCCACCCGCGACCCACCCCGCGACCTACCCCGCGACCCACCCGCGACCCACCCCGCGACCCACCCGCGACCCACCCTGCGAACCACACGCGACCCACCCCGCGACCCACCATACAAAATGCGAGATTCGTATACGAAGATTATGCTTGTTTTGTTGCATCGTCCCCTGCGAGACCCGGCCCGCGACCCACCCACGACCCACCCCGCGACCCACCGGCGACCCGCGAGCCACCCCGCGACCCGCTCGCGACCCGCCCGCGACCCACCCGCGACCCGCCACCCACCCGCGACCCACCCGCGACCTGGCCCGCGACCTACCCGCGACCCACCGTCGACCAACGAACTCACATTGTTTTAACAAAAAAACGGCGCCTGCTGCGGGCTCGATAAAAACTCTGCGCCTGCGGCGGGCTTCTTCTGAGCCTCGCAGACGGTCGACGTCCCCGCCGCCCCCTGACTCTCACCCGCAACTACGGAGCGCGACATACTTCTCGGAGTTGTCGACGGTGGAACCTTGGCCCCGTGTGCCGCGACCCTCGCAACTGCGACTGCCGCGTCCGGCGGTTGGACGCGTGTATTCAGACGGTGGCGAAAAATGTTGAGAGCGTAGTAGATGCGCGCCAATTGTCCTACAGTCTGCGGCAGGTTGTTCTCCGCATCCTCAGCGTCGTGGCATGCTGGATCTTCGCCGAGACCAAATCTGCGCAGCACGCACGATTGCGCGAATGACCACGTCGCCAGGCAGACCGCCCACCAGGCCCCGCGACAGGTCAGGTAGCGTGCGATGTCGTCGCTGCAGCCCTCGCAACTGAACCGGCAAGCAAATGAAGGACGCCGACGTGTATCCGAAAGGCCTGTATCCGAAAGGCCTTAGGCCAGGCCCCTGCCAGCGCGCGGTAGTTCGCCCGCAATGCACCAAGGGGAGCAACCGAGAAATGGCGTCGAAGGCGCCGCCGCCAGCCCGCCAAATCTGGCGGCAGTGCGAGCTGAGGCAACCAAGTCTTGATCCTCTTGGCAATCCTAACGCGGGACATCCCGGGGTAAAGGGCGGCCGAGGCCACCGCCTGGCGAACGCGTTTTGGAGGGTGCAAGTAGGGGCCGGGCGCAGGGCCCCGGCAATGGTGTCTCTACGGGCCATGCGTGGGCGACGCATCCTCGATTGCTGTGTTCGGCGGGGGGGCCGATTGGGGCTCTCCGCCTGCGCCCGCGCGCGAGACTTGAGGGTGAACGAAGCAAGGGGGCGGGGGGCTCGGGAACGGCGACGAAGGCAACGCTCGCTGAGGGCACAAAAAAAAGGTTGGAGTAAACGAAAAAGGTTAGGCGAATGTCAAAATCTGCTCAGCCAATCTGACACGCGGAACACTGCACCTCAGTTTGGGGGATTTTGAGGGCCAGGGCAACATGTGAATTCACATTGTGGGGAAAAGCAAAATGTGAATTCAAATCTGGGGAAGGAAAATGTGAATTTTCATTTTGGGGCAACAATATGTGAATTCGCATTTGGGGATGCTGTATCGGAATCTGTATGAAAGGGCCAGAATGTGAGTTCACATATGGGAGAAAGAGAAAGTGTGATTTCACATGGTGGAAAAACGGAAAATGTGGACTCACATGTTGGGAGACTTGCGGGGCCCATTCCAAATCTGCCTAGGGGGCCGGCAAGTCATCGTTTGGGGACATGCGCGATCATCAACCGCACAATCAAGACGCACTTGCACTCCACTTCGCCACCCCACGCGCGATGTGCAATAATGCCCGCACGAATGAAGGATAATGGATAGACGGCGCGTTCTCCCGCGCGGGAAACGCGCGGGCACGAGCGATTGGCCCTCCATGACCGCCAACATTTGATGCCAATCATGCCCGATCACATTCATGAGCGAAGCGTTGCATTGAGCATGCATGGGCCATTCAGCTCCCATTGAAGATCCCCTGTTGCGCACCCCGTCTTTCGCCCTCCAAGCGTCGAAGGTGGGCGCGCGGGTCGCGGGGGGCAACTGCCCGCAGGTCAGTCTTGGCTGCGCGGTTGCCCGGAAACGGGGCCCCTTGCCTCTCGCGCCGAAGCCGCGCGCCGCCCCGGAGTCAGAGGCGATGAGATATCAAGCAATGGATTGGGGCATGGCCCAACAAGCAGAAGTCCAGCTCCCTGCGATGGCCAATGCCGGCGCGAGGTCGTCGAAGACGCGCTCTTCCCACGCGCCCGCGAACTCCCCCCGGCCCTTGAGCGCGGCGTTTCCCGCGCGCGCCAGGCCGCGGCCCAGGCCGGAGGCAGCGACGGAGACGAAGTCGGATACGAGGACCACGTGCGCATGCTGAAGAGATCGGGGAGGCTGAACGACTTCGGAAACGCCGTCAAGATACCGCGCAAGACGTCGATCTCCGCCTTGAGCAAGACTTCCGGAATCGGGGGGAGTTGGGATGGGTACAGGAACACCGTGTTTGCAGAAGAGTTGTAGAGTTTGACCACCTCGAGTGTGGTCGCGGGAATCCCCCTTAGGATGGCCACCTGGGATCGATGCTTGTTCAAGGCCCCGAGCCAGGATTCCTCGCGGGTCGCACCTGGTCCAAAGACAAATCCAGGTCCTCCGCAGAGGACTCGATCGTGAAATCTGGGGCCAACTCAATCGAAGCGGCTCGGATCGAGTCTCGCGCATGAGCAAGCTGGGCCGTCGACACCCATAGGGATATAGGGAGGCCAACGCGTGCTTCTTCGGCTGCAGGGAGAGGCAAGCCAACGGGCCAATTGCACCAAGGATTCACGGCGAGAGGACGAACCAATGCCAACTCCCAGAGCACCACCCCGAGATCGCCAGCGCAAGGTCCGAGCTCTGCTTCGCGGCTGGGTCCAACGAGCAGCTCCTCGCGTCGCGGGCGAGCCAGCAGGGGGCGCGAAGAGAGGCCGAGAGCTCCTGACATGGCCTCGACAATGGGGCGGCAGTGAAAGCCCAAAGCGAACCCGAAAGAGGGCAGCCTTGAGCGACCCCCGCCAGAACCTGACCGAGGTGGCAGGCGCCCGCGCGGGTCCAGCAGCGCTGCTCGTTGCACAGGGCATGGATCAAGTTGATGCATGTCGATGGGGGCGCCGAATTTGCTCGACGGCCGCGAAAAGTCACGGCCGCGCCAGAGGCGGGAAGGCCGCCGTCGCGTCGAAGGAGGCAACGGGACCGCCAGCGTCGCAACGAATCCGCATCGCCTAGCGATGCAATGCGAGCCTGTCCGTCAAATTTCCACATGTTTGTGAGACAGTTCTGGCCACGTACAAATCCTCGTGGGACGCGAGGAACATACCGTTCAGCAGTCTTGGCCAGGTAGATGTTCGCGGTCGAGGTCAGCAACTTGGCGTCGCTGTTCTGAAGAGCCAGCGGTCGTGTCTTACCCGATTCGCGGGTGCATCCCGCCGCCAGAGGCCCCATCAATCTTCGGGGCGAACTGGGGCCATGCGTGGCTGAGGCCACGAGGGGGGCGCGCCCCTGCATCACGGCCGACATCATGTTGCGCAAGATGTGTCATGCGCCACGTGCCCGAGACCACCCATAATGCGGGATCCCGTCAGGGGGGGGTGTTGTGGGTCGCGCGCGGCGCGCTGCTACTTCCATGTCCGGGAACTCGGGCACCGGTAGTTGAAGATCTGGCAACAAGGGAAAATGAAGCTGTAGACAGTCGTGTATTTCAGCACTCGGGACCTCTTTGGGCGCGAAGATGGGCTCCCAGGGCGCCCGGGAAGCCGACGCCATCCCTGGCTGTCGCCAGAGTGGTTGTAGACGAGATGGCCGATGTGGCTGGATGCGCCGACTGCAGCATGCCCGCCAATATCTGCGCGCTGTGGAAGGGGCGACATAGCTGAGCCATTTGCCGCGTCCTCCACCCGCAGCCCCAGTTGGCGCCTGCGTCGCGGGCGCCTCTCTGATAAGCGGCGGCGGCGCGGAGCTGGGCGTCGGCGCGTCGACGATCAAGAACAGACGGGGCCGCCCGGCGCATGCGGGAGGCAAAGGCGTCGGGGACGAGGAGAGCAGCCCCTTCATCGCCGACCTGAAAATACTTGGCAGCAATCGGGGCAGTCGCGATGAGCAAGCCCAGCGCGCGCGTATCTCGCCGCCAGCGGGCGCGCGCAGCAGATCGGAGCAGCGGGGGGGCGGCGCCCAGGCGCGCCGGGTGACTCGCCAGGTCTGGCTCGCGGGGGGGAAAATTGCCGTTCAGTCTCGCCGCCTTCTTAATGTTCGCCTTGGTGGCGCGCCGTTGTCAGAAAACGTCGCCGTCGTCGGGCGCAGACGCCGCCTGGAATGTGTCGAAGCACTCCGCGCGCAACGGCCCACGGAAGATCCACCCAGGCATTGCCAAATTTTCTGGGCGAGCTGCGGCTGCACTACCGACCGCGGTTGCATGGCGCCGCGGTCGGAGAACGAAGCGGGGTCAGAGATGGGCGCGGCTTCGACGTCGACGCCAAAAGTGGCGCGCGGCGGCGGGGGCGCGCAGAATTTGTCCAGGGTGTTGGCTCTGCGACGCATGGCGTCGCAGTGGGTTGGTTGGTCAAGACGGATCCGAAGCATGGGCCCATTAAACGGATCCCAGATACGCGGGGCCGCGTCGTCACGCCGCGCCTCATGTTGCGGCGACCGGGAGGGATTGAGACAGCCGAGGTCGGCGCCGTCGTCGTAGCTGAACTCGCCGGCGGGCAGGAAAAGCCGCGCCTTTGGGCGAGCGTGCGCCCGCCGGCGCGCCGCGTGCCAGGCAGCGGCAACCTTCCGCCTGTCTGGCGATGCCAGGCCGTGGTTGTAGACGCTCATGAAGGCGATCGCAGGGGCGCGCCCCTCGCGACGCCCGCGCGCCTGGGGTGAGAAGAGGGCCGGGCAGGAGACGACGAGGATGAGGGGGGGGGGGGGGGGGGGGGGGGGGGCGGGGCGGGCACAGGGAGGGAGGGGGCGGAAGAGGAAGGAGCAGGAGCAGGAGGAGAAAGGAGCAAGAAGAGGAGGGGGGGGGGGGGGAGGAGGGCGAGGAGGAGTGACCGTAGCTCGAGGCGCGCACGTCTGTTTCCACCTCGGTGGATGCCACTGCGCTGGCAGGGCGACGTTAGTGCCAGACTAGGGCTCGGCCAGCACTGAGGGCCGCGGCGATTGCCTCGCTCGTCGGAGCGGTATTTTTCAGTTTGCTGTATAGATGAAGGCGAGCGTCGCGCGCTGGATCGACCGACGCGTCGAGGGGTCGCTGCTGGGATTGGGGGGGCGCGCTGCAGCAGGGCACGTGGCCCAGGTCGCAAGTGCGTTTTGGCGAGGAGGCGAGTCATGGGGGCCAGAGGCTCAGGAGGGCGGGGCAAGAGAGAACGCGGGGACATGAATCGGCTGCGCGCGCGTAGCCGAACGCGCGAGGTTGGAGGCCGAGCACGCGCGCGCGGCGCGTGGTCCTCCACCCGCCGCTGAGCGTCGCGAAGGTGGCCCAGAGCCAGCCGGGGCGGACAGCTCCGAGCTCGCGCGAGAGAGCTCCCCATCTCTTGGAGAGCTCATCAGCTGAAGGAGGCTGCAGGACGTTCCACGCGCGGATGCGCTTGCGGAGCGTAGGCGCGGCGGGCTCGCTGCAGCAAGTTCTCGCAGTGCCCGACGTGCGTGGTTCGCCACGGCCATGTCTGCGGCAGAAATGGGGCATGCTCGCGCCCCTGCGCGAGGGCATGGTGGCATTGAGCGATCGAGCGCTCCTCGATCCAGAACGGCGCAGACCATTCGCCATCCGGCCAGCGCGCAAAAGTGCGAATCGCGCTCTCCTTCCGCGCCGCGTCGCGCAGGCGGTCGCGAGAAGGCCCCCGCGAGCCAGATAGAGCATGCGAAGCGGAACGGATGGCGGCAGAGGCAGCAGTGACTTGGACAGAGCGAGTGACGGGCGGCGGACTCCAGTCCGCCATTCATAGCATATCGACGCGGCGAAACGCATTCGGGGGCAGACTGAGCATCTCGTGAAAGATGCAATGCTCGCGCTGCACGATGTTCTTATCGAGCGGAAAAACTGGGCAACGCAGCTGAGCGTGGGCAAGGCTGATGCGCTATATCAGCGAACCGTGGCGCCACCGCCACTCTGCACAATATTGACATGATTGCCCCCTAGCCGCAATTTCTGCCCTCGGGCGAGCCACCGGGAGGCGACTGGGGCAGAGGGCCCAGAAGGCCCCGAGGTACTCGGTTCGCCCCGCGATCGAAAATTAGCCTGGCGAAGGACCCAACCATATGCAGTTGTGAATGCCGCAATTGTGCTGGGTGGTGGCGGACGCATGCGGGCGGTGCCACTGGGACCTTCGGTGGAGCTCCCTATGGGGCCACGAAGCGCTGTACTGGGTGGGTGAGACGCGGTCAGCAAGGGCTGTGCTGCGTGGTGGCGGACGCATGCAAGCGGTGCCACTGGGACCTTCGGTGGAGCTCCCTATGGGGCCACGAAACGCTGTACTGGGTGGGTGAAACGCAGGCAGGGAGCAAGGCTGTGCAGGGTGGTGGCGGACGCATGCGGGCGGTGCCGCTGGGACCTTTGGTGGAGCTCCCTATAGGGCTACGAAGCGCTGTTCTGGGTGGGTGAAGCGCAGGGAACAAGGGCTGTGCTGGGTGGTGGCGGACGCAAGCGGGCAGTGCCACTGGGACCTTTGGTGGAGCCCCCTATGGGGCCACGAAACGTGCGAGGGGTGTGCCAGAATGGGGTGTGGAACCGCATGCCAGCGCAGCCACTGCGGCGTTCGGTGGAGCTCCCTATGGAGCCACGAAACGTGTGAGGGGTGTGCCGAAATGGAGGGTGGAACCGCATGCGGGCGCAGCCACTGGGGCCTTCGGTGGAGCTCCCTATGGGGCCACGAAACGTGTGAGGGGCATGCCGAAAAAAGGGTGTGGAACCGCATGCGAGCGCAGCCACTGGGGCCTTCGGTGGAGCTCTCTATTGGGCCACGAACCGCATGAAGGGTGTGCCGAAATGAGGGAGGGGGGGTGGAACCACATGCGGGCGCAGCCACTGGGGCCTTCGGTGGAGCTCCCCATGGAGCCACCCACGAAGCGTGTGAGGGGTGTGCCGAAATGGAGGGTGGAACCGCATGCGAGCGCAGCCACTGCGGCGTTCGGTGGAGCTCCCTATGGGGCCACGAAACGTGTGAGGGGTGTGCCGGAATGGGGGGTGCATGGCGTGGAACCGCATGCGGGCGCAGCCACTGGGGCCTTCGGTGGAGCTCCCTATGGGGCCACGAAACGTGTGAGGGGTGTGCCAGAATGGGGGGTGGAACCGCATGCGGGCGCAGCCACTGGGGCCTTCGGTGGAGCTCCCTATGGGGCCACGAAACGTGTGAGGGGTGTGCCAGAATGGGGGGTGGAACCGCATGCGGGCGCAGCCACTGGGGCCTTCGGTGGAGCTCCCTATGGGGCCACGAAACGTGTGAGGGGTGTGCCAGAATGGGGGGTGGAACCGCATGCGGGCGCAGCCACTGGGGCCTTCGGTGGAGCTCCCTATGGGGCCACGAACGTGTGAGGGGTGTGCCAGAATGGTGGGTGGAACCGCATGCGGGCGCAGCCACTGGGGCCTTCGGTGGAGCTCCCTATGGGGCCACGAAACGTGTGAGGGGTGTGCCAGAATAGGTGGTGGAACCGCATGCGGGCGCAGCCACTGGGGCCTTCGGTGGAGCTCCCTATGGGGCCACGAAACGTGTGAGGGGTGTGCCAGAATGGGGGGTGGAACCGCATGCGGGCGCAGCCACTGGAGCCTTCGGTGGAGCTCCCTGGTGGCCGCGAAGCGTGTGAGGGTGTGCCCGAATGGGGGGGGGGGGGGGGGGGGGGTGTGTGTGGAAACCGTGTGCGGGGCCTTCGGCGGAGCTCCCTATGGGCCACGAAGCGTGTGAGGGGTGTGCCAGAATGGGCGTGGGAGGGGGGAGGGGGAAGAATGGGGGGAGGAGGAAGGAGGAGGATGAACGCGGGGCAACGTCTCTTCAAAACGAGGACCCAACACCACATAATGGTTGGGAAAATTAGCCTGGCGAAGGACCCAACCATATGCAGTTGTGAATGCCGCAATTGTGCTGGGTGGTGGCGGACGCATGCGGGCGGTGCCACTGTGGCCTTCGGCGGAGCTCCCTATGGGGCCACGAAACGCTATACTGGGTGGGCGGGACGCGGTCAGCAAGGGCTGTGCTACGTGGTGGCGGACGCATGCGAGCGGTGCCACTGGGACCTTCGGTGGAGCTCCCTATGGGGCCACGAAGCGCTGTACTGGGTGTGTGAAACGTAGGCAGTGAGCAAGGGCTGCGCAGGGTGGCGGACGCATGCGGGCGGTGCCGCTGGGACCGTTGGTGGAGCTCCCTATAGGGCTACGAAGCGCTGTTCTGGGTGGGCGAAGCGCAGGGAACAAGGGCTGTGCTGGGTGGTGGCGGACGCAAGCGGGCAGTGCCACTGGGGCCTTTGGTGGGGCCCCCGATGGTGCCACGAAGCGTGCGAGGGGTGTGCCAGAATGGCGTGTGGAACCGCATGCCAGCGCAGCCACTTGGGCCTTCGGTGGTGCCCCCGATGGAGCCACGAAGCGTGTGAGGGGCGTGCCGAAATGAGGGGCGGAACCGCATGCGAGCGCAGCCACTGCGGCGTTCGGTGGAGCTCCCTATAGGGCCACGAGACGTGTGAAGGGCGTGCAGAAAAAGGAGTCCGCATGCGGGCGCAGCCATTGGTGCCTTCGGTGGAGCTCTCTACGGTGCCACGAACCGTGTGAGGGGCGTGCCGAAATGAAGGGGGGTGAAGGGGGGGAGGGGGGAAGGGTGGGGGGGGAGGTGCACGTGCGAGCGCAGCCACTGGAGCGTTCGGTGGGGCTCCCCATGGAGCCACCCACGAAGCGTGTGAGGGGTGTCCGAAATGAACTGGGTGAGAAAACCGCATGCGAGCGCGGCCACTGGAGCGTTCGGTGGAGTCCCCGCGTTCGGTGGAGTCCCTATGGGCAACGGAGCGTGTGAAGGGTTGGCAGAAGGGGGGGGAGGGGGGGGGGAGGGGGGGGGGGGCCTGCTGGCTCCTGCCACTGGGGGCCTTTCGGTGGAGGCTCCCTATTGGGCCACGAAGCGTGGTGAAGGGGTGTTGCCAGCATAGGAAGGTGGAACCGCGTGCGTGCGCAGCCACTGGGGCCTTCGGTGTGAACCCCCCTATGGGGGCCACGCAACGTGTGAGGGGGTGTGCCAAACGGGGGGGTGTCACCGCATGCGGTGGCGCAGCCCCTGGTGGCCTTCGGTGGAGCTCCCCATGGGGCCACGAGCGGTGTGAGGGGGTTTGCCAGAATGGCCACTGGGGCCTTCGGTGGAGCTCCCTATGGGGCCACGAAACGTGTGAGGGGTGTGCCAGAATGGGGGGTGGAACCGCATGCGGGCGCAGCCACTGGGGCCTTCGGTGGAGCTCCCTATGGGGCCACGAAACGTGTGAGGGGTTTGCCAGAATGGGGTGTGGAACCGCATGCGGCGCAGCCACTGGGGCCTTCGGTGGAGCTCCGTATGGGGCCACGAAGCGTGTGAAGGGTGTGCCAGAACGGGGGGTGGAAGCGCATGCGTGCGCAGCCACTGGTGCCTTCGGTGGAGCTCCCTATGGGGCCACGAAACGTGTGAGGGGTGTGCCAGAATGGGGGGTGGAACCGCATGCGGGCGCAGCCACTGGGGCCTTCGGTGGAGCTCCCTATGGGGCCACGAAGCGTGTGAGGGGTGTGCCAGAATGGGGTGTGGAACCGCATGCGGGCGCAGCCACTGGGGCCTTCGGTGGAGCTCCCTATGGGGCCACGAAACGTGTGAGGGGTGTGCCAGAATGGGGGTGGAACCGCATGCGGGCGCAGCCACTGGGGCCTTCGGTGGAGCTCC